ATTTTATTTCTTTTTTTATGTCCAAGCAAAATAAACTCATTCTCTAAACTGCCAGAGCAATTTTCCTTTTTTTTAAAGCTTTGAGTCTGGAACCCCAAAACAGACTCAAAGCAGACTCAATTAACTTTTTTAAATAATTGTATCTATGGTATCACCATGGCAACGCGTTTCTGCAGCTCCTCACCTGTGAGTCAGCTGACACACAAAGCTGTGACATAACACCTGTCTGGCAGGTGCGCTTGCTTCCTCCCTGCTTTGCTCTTCCACCCTGCAGGTTTTACCATTTCCCATCTCGCTGCACACATGCCCTAAACCCATCATCTCTGAAACCCCAGAGATGCAAAGCCCGCAGAGGTTCCAGCATGTGTTCTGGGTGTTTAGCTTGTAGTGCTTGTACAGTTTTATTGCATTATGTAACAGCTTCGAATGATTAAAACAGACGAGGTTTGTGCAGGTACACTCGCAGGCATACGCGAACAAGCCGGGACGTAACAATCAACGTATTTCTCCCAGACAAACCCCCAAACAGCAGCGGGCTGTGCAAGCGCACGGCTGTGTTTTTCGGCATAAATAGAGCCCAGAAAAAAAAAAAAAAAAAAGACTGCCACATCCACAGCAGGCAGACGGGCAGGAACTGATCACAACAGACAGCTGCAACATACAAGTGGATTGCACAGCGGAAACATTAAAAGCTAAAAACACAATCACGTCGGAGATTTACTGCATAAAACAAGCGTCATGCTGGGTGTAAGCAGAGCAATGTGCACACTTCTGTCTGCTTGTGGCTTAATGCAACAGAGGACATTTAACTGGGTCCTCTTCTCCAGCCTAAGAGTGAGAAAGCAAGACGGCCGTTTATTTGCCGTTGGAGACGATCTGAACAGTGCTACTGCACTGGGAATTAACAGCTGCAGGATAGATGTGTCTTGTCTGGGATTTGCGGCAGCAGCTACCGCTGTAAAGTTGTCCCACCACTTCCACTGCTCTGCACCTTTATCCCCAAATGCCTCATCAGCCCCGAGCAGTAAATAAGGTATGAGTCATGTGGCCGCAAAGCTGTCAGTCGCTCCTCGGGGTCTCAGCTGCTGACCAGGGGAAAATATTTGAGCGTGTTTTTTCCCCCTCTTTCCATCTTTCTCTCTGCGAAGGCGCGTCCATTACTACTGACTTCAGGTGACGATGAGACACATAAACACACATTTGCAGAAGTGTATTATGGCTGCGCAGGGATACAAGCGATCGCGTGACCAATCAAAACCCATGCGAGCGATTCGTATGGCACCGGGAAAAAAAAAATATCCCTGTTGACTTCCGCACACAAGAAAGATCATAAGGCGCAAACAGGTGTTTATGGAGAGCAAAGAGTCCCAAATCATGTACATGTGAAGCGCAAGCAGAGTAAATATAGATGTAGAGATGCAGAGCGAGCGGGCCAGGAAAAGAAAGAGGTCGCAGAGGTTAAACAACAGAAGTGGTGGCTGTTTGGATGAAAGCAGTCGCGAGATTGGGGCGGAGGGACGGAGACAAACGGAGGACAATGCCGAGCAAACTAGATTAATGGCGGATGAAAGGAAAATGACGGCAGATTAAAAAGTGGTTGTCTGGATTGATAGCGTCTCGGCAGAGCCATATACTGTAATATGTCTGGTGTTTTACAACTGCACAACCACAGATGCGCCCCCCCCCCCCCAGCATTATCTCCCTGTCGCACTGTGCCATTACCAGGCCTTATCTCCCCCCCCCCATCGGTTCATCAGCACTGCAGAGTGACTACTGCCACCCCACCAGAGACCACCATGTCAGTAAGCTCCTATTTACAGAGATTTTGCCTGATTCCACTAAATCCTCACAACATCTCTTCATAGTGTGTAACTACAGTTACTATAAACCTCTGATTTTGTACGGAGGCCTGTTATTACTTTCGTATCCATTGAAAGCAGGATAAAAAATAAAAAAAAATTACGCAGGGGGAAAGATGACAACCCGATCTTTGACAAGTTTTCTGACAAGCTGCTAATTTGTTATGTAACGGCCCGACCAGAAAGAATGAAAGCAAGTCACTTCACCTCAGCCTCTGGCGAGGGGAGGGGGGCTCTTTTGCTGTACTGTGAGGGGTGATTAGAGACGGATAATTGGGGCACAGAAATCCAGCAGTTTAATAATCACATTTTTTTTGGGGGCTGGACTGAATTCCAGAGGTGGACTGCCAGAGGATTGAATAGGTTGCATAACCCAGGCGAGCTCTTTTGTTCTGCACTACGGCCCTTTTGTTTCACCTGTTGTACAACTCGTTTACCGGTCAGAGAGAAGAGCCTTTGTACGCCGGGTCACTTAAACTGCATTTAATTGCTGCATATCCATTTACTTCAAGGGAGGCTGAGAAATGAGGCCACAAACATGAAATTTGAACTTCAGGATTCTGCAAACATACTGCTAATATGCAGGTGTACGCAGTGAGAAAATGACCATTTGACAGTGCAGCTTTATTAGCGGTCCTGAAATAGGCATTTGTTCTTGATGAAGGTTCCGTTTTCTTTTGGTTTTTTTATAGATTCCCAACGGAAATAGCAAATAAAAATCACAAAAAGCAAACCAACAAAAGAAGCTGATATAATCAATATGTTTATATTAACAATGCATTGGATGTCACATGGCCGACAGCAGTCAAACGAGCTTAGCATCTATCATGGCGAACGCGGAGATATTTACCACAGGAGGTGGTGGAGAGAAAATTATATTTTCTACAGTTTTTGGAGTCATCTAGAGCAGTGGTCCCCAACCTTTTTTACCTCACGGACCGTTTTCTGGTCAGACAATATTTCGCACATAATTAGTAGAAAAGCCGGTCAATTTTCAAAATAAAACATTTTTCAGAAAAAAAAAATATATATATATTCTTTCTGTGGTGCGGCCCGGTACCAAACGGCCCACGGAGCGGTAGCGGTCCGCGGCTCGGTGGTTGGGGACCACTGATCTAGAGTCAATTCAGGCCGAGCAGTGTTCCCCTAGCAAGCAGACCGCTCATGTTTAGTTAAAAAAGCACCCAAAAGTCTCTCTCCGCTCCTCTGCCCTTCCCCGAACCATTCCCATCTCATTTTCCCCCTAAGGTGGGTATTACATCACTCAACAAATTCACATCCCATGAAATGAAAATAATAGTTTTGATCCTTTGTGAGACCTGACACATGATGGGGAGACTAAAGGACAAATCCAAGAGTGATGCTCAACGAGACGGGCAGAAAGGAAGGCGCTCAGGCTGAGCTTTGTTTAGCCTGAAGCTGAGGATAATCAGGACACACACAGACACGCCTACCATCAAAAGATTGATTCCTGTTAAATTAAAGATAATCTGCCAGTGGGGAAAATACAGCGAGTACTGAGAGCAGCTGCACGATGGAAGACACGTTGTGCTTACAGCAGCAGACTGAGGCCCTGCTTTGCTGACCATGTTCTTCTTCTTCTCACATACACCAGAAAAAAATCATTAACTTGCACACATTTTCACAGCCTCACTCACTCACACACACACATACATGCGTCACAGAACATCCTTAATCCCAAATTGGCGAGCCCGAAATGCAATGCGAACTTTCCGCTGGCAGAGATGCAAAGAAATGCCAACGAGAGCCGTCTTTCTTAAAGTCACACTCATATTTTCAACCTCGTGGCCCCAAAAGAGGAGCGATGAACAACCGAAGGAGGTCGCAAACCATGAGACCTCCTCAACACGTCGCCTGAAAGCAATCAAACCTGAAAGCTGATGAAGACAGCAAGATGAGAAAGATCCGAGAGGAATTCCTCCTTTCACGCGTTTCAGCCAAATAAACCAAACAACTGACGTCAGATTGGCACAATCCTCCTACACCGACCGACTAACAGAAAGTCACATAGTTTGATTCCGCCAGCCATCGATATTCTGGATTGTGACAAAATGTTTCATTTCAATGGACGGTTTCATGATCACTCCTCAGGCGATTGGAAGGTCGAGACCCTGGAGGATTAGAGAGTAACGCTCTCTGGCAGATGGGTGGACGGCGGAGATGTTTGGGGGGGGGGGTGGGGGGGGTCATTGGGAACGGCCAGTGGATCACTAGAGGACTAGAGAACTGTATTTGGCATTTTAAATATTGAGTCAATTTTGAGTTCAGCTTCACAACCAGGATACGTGTTCCTGCATCGCGTACACGTTGCTCCCCCCCTGCATTCATTCTGCAGCAGCACACAGACGCTAGAAAATCGCCGCAGCTGAAGTTTCACACGATCATTAATGTCCTCGGCTCTCGTGTTTCAGCGAAGCGCATTGCTTAGCCCCTCCACACACACACACACACACACACACACACACACACACACACACACACACGCGGAGCAGTTAGCGCATAACCCATAATTATGTTCATATGAAAACTCCACTCGCAGATTTTGTTTCTAATGTTTTTTACAACTGTTTGGAAGGGAATAATGGAAGTAACAGGCGGACCGGTTTGAAAAGTGACGTATTTCCTAATGTGGCGATGTGAAGTGTGTACGCAGTAGTGAATAAGTGAATATTTGTACAAGCAACAGATAAATAAATACAGTTAATATTAACTAAGACAGATTGTTTTACTAGAGGAGGGTTTGTGTCCCCTACACTGGTTTAATGCAAACTTCTTCTTAAATGCTTTACTGCGTTAAAGTTAAAAGTTATGTCACAAGGTAGATTGACAATGTCGTGTATATTCCATTTTCTCCGCTTAACACTACTGTGTTCACCTCATCACGTTCTCGGCCAATCCGGGCACCAGATTCTAAGATCCAAAATTAGCGCTGCTATCACTGGCATGAAGAATGTTGACCGTGCAGACGGGTCATGGAGGGAAGGAGCGAGCAGAGACAAAGTGCAGGGCGACATGCAGAGAGTGAGCTGCGCGCAGGAAAAATTATTTCATCGCGTGTTATATTTCTGGGCTGTTGCGTTAAAGTAGTAAATCCATGGGTTCTAAACAGAGTATTATTTTCTAGATTATGACCACGGCTGAAACGCAAAAATTATGGATATTCTTAAATGATAACTGTGCTAGTTGATGATGATAAAATGTACAATTTAACGGAATGTGAATCGCACAAAAGACAAAATATTAAATGTAAGAGACCAACTGGAATCTAAACATGACAGCGGTGGAAAATGAAAACTTTCTGTGGAGACGAAATGAAGCGCACCCATAGAAAGCTTCCCTTAACTTTTCTCTCTGTTAAACTGTGTGAAAGCTGCGGTGAAACGTGTTCTCAGCCTCTCGGCCGATGTGTCCGACTGGGGCCACGTGTGCGTCCCGGGTCAAACACGCATGTAAACACGGCACTCACCTATGCAGGCGTGCACTCGCACGGTCAGCTGGGTTCGCAGGATGACGCTGTGCTTCTTCCCTCTGGACCTGACAACGGAAGAAGCAAATGTTTATAATATTTATTTTTATAATGGAGACAGTGTTCGCACAGACAAACAGCGGCCTGCATGGGATCCGTGCCCCCCTTATGCTGATACGTATCTGAGCCCAGAGGCCGCGGGAGCAGACACAACACACGTGCACACGACTCCACATGCCATCGCCAGGACACATTCATACAAAGCATAGTTGCCGTGGGAAAACAAAAGGAGCGCGCACAAACATGGGAGGGAGGGATGATGGCTGTTATACTCCGATCCGCGGGATCTAATCACTCACTTCCATCGGCGGCATGCCGACAGCATCCAATCCGAGCGCGGGAAAAGCACCGCCGCGATAACGTGCAAAACACACCCGAACAAGACAGCAGCTGAACTCCAATCCTTCTGCTAAGCTGCGTTATCAGCTTTGCTAGCAAATAGAGCAAAAATGTTAACATCCTTTGCAGAGATGCCGATAGATAATGATGATTGACAGGTGGGAACGAGTCTACATGCTGGTCAGAACCGTGGAAATGAAAACTAGACCCAAGATGCAACTGGTGAGGATATAAAAGGAAGGTTTTAAATGAAACAAACTCTGGGAAACTTCATTATACTTAATAGTTTGTTTATTCAAATCACTATTTCAATGGTGGTGGCTTGGATGAACTCTGCTCTACATGCTAATCTACAGAAGTGTAATCTCCTTCAGTGGAGGCCTCCTGCGAGCCGCCCTCCTTCACAGCTGCGGTGAGCGGCGCTCTGTGATGATGTCCCTTTACGACTATCTAGTCTTTCATTACAAAACATTACCAAATTACAACATTACTAAGCATTATGTATTACATCCGATTACATACTTTTTGTGTCTATTTCACATAGGACAAACGGCGTAAAAAACATCCTACCGACGCATTCATTGATTATTGTGAGGTTAATGCAGCTTTACAGGCATGAAAACGGGTCCCTCTAGGCCCCTCTGGGGCAGGGGTTTTTAACTGGTTTTGTCCCAGGGATCATTTTTTGCGTACCGACGAGGGGGGGGGGGGGTGGGAATTGACAACAACTAATAGGGGACAACTCATTAAATACTCGTCATGCATTATATTGCATTGCATTTAATGTGTGCTGGTCAACTAGTCTAAAATTAATTTTAGACAAATTTTTGCGTGGTTTAGAGTGACAAACCCAAAATGCGTATCAGGTTGGCAGGTCTGCTTATTGATAGAACGGTGGACCACTTCACCTTCTGCCTCGTCAGTCCCCTCACCTCAAAATCTACCTCCTCAAAAACGGTAGCGTTAGATACCGGAGCGTTAGCTAGCTGGCCAACGTCGCGTTCTCTCCTGCTGTGTTAAATGACTCAACTCATCAAGCTAACGTTAGCTAAGTCTATGTCAACAAAGCTCCTGGGTAACTTAACTTAGCTATACCAGAAAATATTAAAACCATCACTCACCCTGTTCGCAGTTCACTGAATATGAATTACTCATCGAATCTACACGATTCACGTAGGTCACCTATTTTGGTTTCAAAACGGCAAATTTCGCCGGAAGGTGAGGGATTTTCATGCCTGAGCTTTCCCGGAAACAGTAATTGCATCCTGAAATCCACCGGCACCATGTATAGCTTTTCATACAGCCATCAAAACCTACACGGCTTTTAATAAAAACGATGTGGTCGGAGGTTAACATAATAAAGATGATTAGTTTTTTAAGCATTGTACCGTATTAGGTCTGATTATTTTATTCTTTTTTGGCACTATGTAAACAGTATTCTTCCAAACAGAGGCATTCGTTCTCGACCTCGGTGATTAAACCCGGAAAAGGGTCAAACTTTACCCGACGCGTGACCCACTTCCCACTGTCACAGCACACTATGACCTTTTGTACAGCTTGTCCAATCAAACCAGTTCTCCAAGATCTCAACCACAAAGGCCTTTGTACACCTGTCCGCCATCTGTCACATGACCTACCAGGTGCATGAGACGGACACACACTCGCGCACGCTCCACGTGCACATGGACACGACCGCGACAAAACGAGGTGTGTCAGGGTCGAGATTCCGACAGGTTTGCGAAGTGAGAGATTGAGTCACAAAGATCTGAATATCAGTTATTGTAAAAACACAGTGAGAGCTGCAGCTGTGCGGAGGGAGGGCACATCTGTCTCTCTTTCCAGAGCGCTTCATACTTTCCGTGAACTTGTGCTTCAACTAAATCCAACAGCTTGTCATTCTTCCCATTTCATAGGAGTGGAGAAACCCAGGAGAGATACGCGTGTGTTCGAGATGTTTCGGCGGCGTGGAACCCGAGGGGGGGGCATGCGAATATTGGGAAGGGTCTAAATGAGAATCCCTCTCACCCTGAGTCGTCCTGCTGAAAGCCCTCCAGCTCGTCCTTTTGCTCGGCCAGAGAGGACTCCAGATCCAGATAGGTGCCATTGTGGGAGAGCTGCAGCGTGCAGTCGTCGAGCTGCGGGGGGAAAAGAAGGAAACAATCTTTTGAACAAGACAACAAGACTTCGGGAATGATGTAGGCTTGAACTAAAAGGCCCGATTCAGCTGCGGTGAACAAAGCTAGGGGGGCCAACTTAAGAATTGAGCATTTAGACCTTAATTAGGGGGATGGAAAATATGCTCCAGCACTTGGACATACGCAGGGTGGCATGTGAGAATTCGCTGGCCGTGCTGCGCTACGTATTCGTGCCACCCACAGGAATGACATTGGTCTCTGGCGCCGCAGCTTTTTTTTTTCATACTAACTCACAAAGTCTCTGCATGCGTTTCACACCCTTTTTTTTTAATCGAGCTGGGCCCATAAAATGAAGCCATTCGAACGTGTACAGTTAAGAGTTAAGGAGAGGGAGCCTGCGCGTTCAGCGTTACCGAGCTGTGAAGGGAATTAACTAGTGGAGACAAAGCAATAAAGCCTTCAGAACATCAAACCACAGCCAGAGGGAAACACTGAGAATTAAACCTTCTTCATGCATTTCAAAACCAGCTGTGAGAGGGAAAAAACTCAACTCCACTGAACTGAAACTGGCTACAATGTTTCAGTTGCATGTGACATTTATGCCCTGGTTACAGACCGTCCCAACGTGAGGTTGATCTGAGGTGGCGCTGCAAAGAGGCCTGAGTCACGCTGCAACCAGCTCGCCGTTGAGTAATGGGAGACCCTGCTGAGTCGGAGACCAGGTGCACAGTAATATATCTGTGCACCGCTGGCATTGATGTTCACGGGTCACAAGTTGATGGCAGGTGCAAGCAGACATCCCACCTACAGCTCATAAAAGGTAGCGGCCGTATTGTTAGAATAAGCTACGAGCTTTACGGCTCGTTGTTTAAGCCGCCGGTGTTACCAATAGGTGAATGAGATCAGCGGCGTGAGTCGGGTTCGCATTTAGCACCCTCACATTGGGTCCCCTTTGCCTGCGGTGTTGCTGCCTAAAAGCCCCGCTGGCACGACACGCCCCGACCAGCAGGGACCAGGGATCACAAGACCTGCGTCTGTCCTGCGTCTGTCCCTCCTTCCCACTGGAAAACAGAGAGACGCACTGCTGGACGGACCCACGGCATAAATATAACCCTGCTATATTTACCCTGCCCCCCTGGGGCAGCATGGGCAAGCTCAAGAGTGGGTGTGTCTGCAGCTTTCTGGTCTGAGATACTGTCTCCTTGATTTACCCTTTAAGTGAGAAAACCATACCTGTGTAATTGGGTGCAAGGCGACCGTGTTCACTTTGTGTCCACCTTTAGGGACCGTTGGGCTCCGGCTCAAGTTCAAGGAGTGGGCTGCTTTTGTGGTATTGGTTCTGCCCCTCCTCCGCTGTGATTGGACAGCTGGGTGAAAAGCGACAGTGACAAGCAAAGCCCTTGGCCCATTTTTTGAACATGTTCCGGCTCTCGGTGGCCGAATACGCTGCTGGTCTTTGCAGTGCAGCGTAGAACACAATTCACGGCCATTGCAAATAATCCGAAACATATGCTCGCCTCGGGAGGAAAAAAAAGCTTTGACCCAACAACTCTACGGGCGACTCGCGCTATTTTCGGAAGCATGATTTCAGATGGAATCATGTGCCTTAAGCTGCTTTCCAGCTTGTTTTGATCTGCTTCTGCGTTTTTCACTATAACTCTCCGGTCGTTTCGCGTCCTGCAGTTTTCTCAGATCTCAGCACCTGGTCTTTTACGCCTCCGTCTCCTCCTTCCCTCGGCGTTTGTACCGGTCGGCTCTCACTTGGTCATGAACTCTCCGGACCGTCCTCGCGTGGTCTGATCCGTCTTTTTCTGACCCTATTGTTGTGGTTCTGACCTTGCCTGAACCGTTATGTTTACAGAACTGAACTCCTTCCCATTGTATTGCTTTTGGATTGCGTCTCCCTGTGAATGTTACAATGACCCCAAGGAGGACATTGAATGTGTGTCCCGAGCGATAGTCCTTGAATGTCTGCCAAACCATTGGGTGGTTCATGAGATATTTCAGCGTTGGACGGCCCGGCTATCCAGCCAACGCTGCCACGTCTAAAATGGTTATTAATCAAGAAGCCGAGAAAAAAAACACAACAATTTTAGAGCTTCTTTTTAGTCTAGTGATTTGTGTTTGTGTGTTTGAATGGGGGTTAGAGCGGGCGGGGGTGGGTGGAGGAGGGGGGGGGGGGTAATCATGCCCTGTCCCACTTTTTCTGCCTTTATGTAGGACAAAAGCATTTCTTGTGCCCAATCCGCTGGCATTATTCCGCGTTTCTCTCTTTAAATGTACCACTTCGGAGGCTTTGTTTATGCGTCCAACACGTGCCCCCCCCCCCTCTCCTCCACCCTTCGGCCTCCAGTTCCCTGCTTTTTTATTTTTGGGTTTTATCTACACACAATACTCAATCTTACATATACTGCTATATGCAGCCAACCCTCCTTCCTAAAACACTTTGCTGGGGTAATAGAACAGTAACAACATAATAAAATACATCGTGCTGGACGGAGAGGGGTCTCCAGCAGGAACCGGAGGCTCCTCACACCGAAGGCACCGGGACGGGCCAGGAAAACACTCAGGGGCTCGTATACTTTGTACTCCAAAGCAGGGAGGGAGCGGAGTAATTACTTCCATGTTAAAACAACACCCAGCCTGCCGGCGATCGCCACGGGTCGGCCCTCAACAATAACCTTACGCAACTTAAACGATGAGCTTTTAAGAACTTCTTTTGTGTCAAACTCGGAGCCACGGAGGATCGTTTTTGTCTTTGAAGAGCGCGGCGGAGGGTGTGTTCCACACAGCCATTGAACCTCCCGGTGTCGCTTTAATGGGAACACTTTGGTAATAAAATAAGAGTTTGGCTGCGTAGTTTTGAGCTTTGTTGGTTCGGAGGGGGGAATGGGAGTTCTCCCCCTGCAAAACTGTTCATGTTGAACTGATTGAGATTCATTTAAGTCCAAATTCAACATCTTTAACAGGCAAATGTTAAAGGGGATAATATCCTCTGCCGGTTTACATTTGGGATAAAATACCCCGACCCCGTGTGCTTGTATTTGAGTCTATAAACCGGTGGATGGTCAGAGCGTTTGGGAGAGGAGGCGGAGGAAGAGGTCAGGAAAACCACGGCACCCAGTGAGGAGAACAAAGTGTCGCAGAGATCCAGGCCCCCGGCCGCAGGAATTCTGGGACAAGTGACCTATACTTTACATGCGCGGCCCGGGCCGGCCGTACACAGGGCTCTGCCACTGGGACGTAATAACACGGTAGGCCTTTCTCAGGGAAGAGCACGGAACGTAGAGACGAAAAGAGAGAACGGCTGCTCTGGAAGACTCAGGTCAAGTCTTGCCGGATTTGACTTTTTCCAAGGATCTGATAACATTCGACGCCGGGCCTTTGGATCCCGGGCTGTCTGTTGAGCAAATTTGGAACTACTCAGTTTCATCCCTATAATCTAAGCTCAATATCCCTTCGCCGTTGCGCACAGTCCTTCCTTCTGATGCGAACGAAATTGCAAACATGAACGCAGGCTGTGCCATCTGTCTGCGTATAGGTTGTAATCATAAGCTTTGCTGTGCTGTGGGCCATTTTTCATTTGTTTTGTGGCTTTTAAAGACGGGGCAGCAAAAAAAAAAAAAAAAAAACATTTGGTCTGAAAAACAGCTCTGCTGTTAAACGCCGGTTTCGCCGTCAGGATTTCGTGCCAGCAGTGGAACTCTCTCTGTCTCTCTGTGCCTCCCATTTATTTTCAATTCTGTCCCTTATCGGCTTGAATTATACAGCTTCTACATACAAATGAAGCATAAATACAAGGTCACAGAGTGTGTGTGTGTGTGTGTGTGTGTGTGTGTGTGTGTGTGTGTGTGTGTGTGTGTGTGTGTGTGTGTGTGTGTGTGTGTGCGTGTGTGTGTTGTGGCCCAGCCTTGTCAGTGAGGAATGTGTTGCTTTTTCTTTTTTATGGACTGAGAACGGCCCGTGGACACTTTATATCAAACACACCATCCGTAATCTGACACTCGCCACCAGACCACGATCACGCGGGATTTGGGCCTTTCGCTGGGAATCAAGAGCTCACGGACGCTTAACATCTGGCTGCACCTTTACGCTTTAGTCCACCTGTCACTCCGACTGGCTTAAAAAAACACACACACACACACACACATTCAGAGGTATCTTCCGACATTGTTGACCCATTCTTCTTTCGTAACCTCGCCAACAGAGAGGTCAAAGGTGAGAGTCAGCTGGTTTCTCAATGGCACTCCAGTGGAGCAAAATGTACGCCGACATCGGGATAATATTGGTGTGCCGCTTCAAGGAGAAAACATTTTTGCAGCTCTGTTTCAGTCCTCAGGCTGGACAGCCCGTCAGCGGGGGCTCCCAAAATAACTTCTGAATGGTGGGCATGGAGGGGCATTTGCAGAAGGCTTAAAGGGGAAAACAGCAGTGAAGGGGAAAAAAAACTCGGATATTCCTGATTTAAATCTATTTTCTCAGGAGAATGCATGTCCTCAACGCAAAGTCAGCTGTTTACACTCAGAACGTCGGTTCTCATGTGGGAATAAATCACCGTAAGACGTCATGATCGACGGTCCGTACCTTGTGCGGGGTCTTGAGCAGCCGGTGGACCCCCGCTAACTGGTTGATGAGGGGGATGTCCTCCCTGAAGGTGTACAGCGGAGGTCTGGTCGGCTCCGGGAAGTTGGTGCTGTTGAACGGATCGGTGTCGTCTAAGAACTGAACCCTGCACACGAACGTGGCCATGGCGCATCCATGCAAGTGTCTCCTGCGGGGCTCACACTCGCTCCTCTGCCGCCAGCGTCAACAAACGCGCGGTCGCCCGGCAGCGCGTCCTCCCGCAGGACAAGTGTGGGGAGGGGGGGGGTAGAGCGGGTTGGGGGGCGGAGGAGGTGTGGGGGGGGGGGGGGGCGCCAGAGTCTCGTGTCCGCCTCCCCTGGCTTTGGTTCCGACGCTCTTCCTTCGGGGCAGTTATTCCCGGAGAGGCAGGTGGCGGGTGGCGATGCCGCGGAGTGAAGGATCAGCGCAGCTCGGGACAGCCGGTCTGCTGTCTGTCTGAGTCCCAGTAAATCCTCCCCCCTCCTCTCTGCCTCATCCCTCCCCCCTCCCCCCGGCTTACTTCAGCTTCCTAAATGAAAATGAGCTGCACTAATCCTGTAGAAAACAATATATTCAGAACAAAAAACTATAATAGACAATAATATGCATCATTGCATTAATTATGATACAAAACCATGCGCTTCAGATGCCATAAACTAATCACCAAGTAACACATCGAGTAAATGCATTTTACTCCTAAGTCTAAATAAGCACTGGGACAGTTTTATTGGGTGATTATTCCTTATTATTACGTTTGAATGCGTTGTTGTCATGGAGCGATACAACGCGACGTGTACTTTGGATCGATGGTGACCTCTTGTGGTAAACAGGTGTTAATGCAGCTCGTACAGTTATTCTGTCACCAGCTCGTACCAGATCCTTTGTTTCCATACAATTCCTTCTTTTAATCGGTTGCCAACGAATTGCCAAATACTAACATTCAGCCAACATGGACTATTTCACAGCTATAAAGTTAAACATCCCATTCAAATTTCCTGTTGCATTGTATGTAAATGATTTGTCAGTGTGTGTGCACGGACCCAAGGTGTTGCCTAGCAATGCAATTCAAAGGGACTGCAAAGAGGCTATTTGGTGAACTGAAGGCACATTAAGGACACACAAGGATGGTAGGCAGGTAAAGTGCTTTATAAATGAAGCCGATTAACATGAATTCCATTATCAACCCTGTGCACTTGTCATATGTGTACATGATATTGATCATATACCATGTCTCAATCGCTGGAGACCTCCTGATAGTTTCCCATCGGAGGGGTGGGGCCGCTGTGTTTAAGATTTACAGCCACACTAACAAATCTACCGAAACAAACACTTCGTCAGCTTCATATTATAACAGTGAGGTGAAGATCAAAGTACAAAGGTTCCTCCACGCTGACAATCGCTCACTGTATCTTCTCTTATGTGGCTCTTCCACATTCTCCAGCATGACTAAGAACGAGTATTTGATATATATGTCATTCTTACTATAGTAAGGTTATCTCTAACAATAAATAATCCGCTAAAATTAGTTCATGTTCTTCCAATTGGCTATTAGATAGATAGATACTTTATTAATCCCTCAAGAGGGAAATTTTGGTGTCACAGCAGCATGAACAGGGAAGAAAATAGAATTAAAAGATACACATTATATACAATATAATAAGATAAAAAATATTAAATTATTAAATAAAATAAAATAAACTAAAACAAAAGAATAACCTTCAAGAAGAGACAATAATAATAATTTGTAAAAGGAGAAGAGGAAATATAATATTAATTAATATGCAAGATGTGTTGTTCAAGGAATGGTAACAGCAAATATTTTGAACATCATAAATTATTGCTAATGTCCAGACAATCAGCTTTTAAGAGAAGACTTGAATCTTGAATACCTGCCAGCTGCTTTATTATCACTGCTCTGAAGCGTGAAACAGAAAACAAATCAGAAAACCAGAAAATGATATAGAATAAAATACTGTATATGCTGGCAGGTTTCAGGTCATCTCCACTACCATCTCGCTACCTGATCACACATTTACAGGTTGCTTCTTACAGCCGCTCAGCGGGTTGCTTATTAACAGCTCATTTCACTCACATTTACCTCTCAGGTTGGAGGAAAATCCATAAAATGTCATAAATAAACTTATAAATAAAATAAAATATTCTTCACGCACATTGTAGTATTGGAAAGTTATAGAAATATTTTTTGAGATCTTTCTTTGCAGACATATGAAATCCACTTGGTTAATAAATAATATAGTATATTATCGACTCGTCAGAGGGATCAGGGTCCGTGTTCCCAGCCCCTGTAAATTAACTGAAGGAACCGTTATTGTGTGTGGTTTTCGTCATTCTGGCCGCTGCTTCGCTTGTGTGACACCACGTTGCCTCCACACGTGTGCGTCTGTTCTATTTTACCTACACACACAGACACAACCTATTCTGATTGGTGGGGCATACTTTATGAGGCTTTTTCTTCAAGATGGCGCGTGGCGGACACACACACACACACACATGCAGATTGTGGTCTCTGATAACGAGCAGTACTCAGAAACGTCCATCTTCGGCTGTCATTCATTTGTCGTCTGAAGACTGGACCACACACACACACACACAAACACACGCATATGCACCATGAGACTGGTTCTTCCAAACCCCGGGCTGGAGGAGAGGATCCCCTCTCACGAGGACCTGGAGAGGATGGAGGAGTTTGAGGCAGGGGACCGGCCCAAATGGGACAACAAAACCCAGTATCTGCTCACCTGCGTGGGCTTCTGTGTGGGTCTCGGCAACGTGTGGAGGTTCCCTTACCTATGTCAGAGCCACGGAGGAGGTATGCTCTTCTTCTCTCTCGATAAAGTGTTCAATTTCATTTTTGTCGTCAGAAAATGTTCACATCAAAATACAATTGCAAATTGTCCAATGAAAATAACCTTTTAATTAAAAAAGAATGGCCTTAAAATAAATATAACCCTCATGTTACCTTGTTAATAATTCATGGCAACCTCTTCGGTGTATGTTCTTTTTTTTTTTATTGCCGACGCATGATTGTAATGTGAGTTGCAGGTATAAAAGCCCGTGCAAGCCGTCTCCATTATAACATTATAAGTGGCACTATAACACCGAGATGCATCATGATGAGGATTCAAATATCTGCTCCTAAAAGGATTTAGGTTAAATATTAACTTGCAGAGGTGAACGAAAGCCGTATAAAGAAATAAAACTCCATTTTACAGCAAAGACGCAGTGACGCGTTAACGCATGGCACATGGCGTTTCCTGTTATTCAAAACAACAACGTGAATGGACTGGCTCTGTGGGCTTTGGCCGAGTCTTAAATCTTCCTCCTGCGCTGTGAGAACGTCTGAGTCCATCAGACAAACCGGCCTTTCTCTAGTCAGAAAAACCCCCACTAATCTAGCAATACTGTACAGTACGGGAACAATATTGAATCTTGAGAGAAACTAAATCATCTGGAAGATTTGAATGAAAATAAATCTGTTTTTTTAACATCACCAGCAACAATGAAAATGCTAAACTGCTATGATGTTTACCCAGTTTAATCACTAAGTGTGTTATGTCTTGGTTATCATTCCAATTAAACTAATGATTGCTTTAGATGCACAGTTTTGGTATAATCAAAGTGATTAAAATTCACACCGTGAAGAATGTAAATGTCATAAAAATGGCAAAGACACAGGGAAATCAGGGGATGTTTGTCTCCCTCCGAGGGACATGAATGTTTGACATGAATTGGACATGAATTGATCGGCAACCACTTTTAAAACTCATCAACCGGAGAATTGAAATGGTCATTTGCAGTCGTCATGATACTTCGTGTCAGCTGTTCTGCTCTTTATCTACATCCTGATAACAGAGGGAACACTCCACCTTAAGCCACGCACCCCACCCCTCCAAACGCCACATGCATGATGACGAAGCACCATCCATTTCCTAATGCTGGCCAGTGTGCTGTGTGGTACCTGTTTCTGCAAAACAGCTTTGATGGCTCAATAACCGCATGAAACGAACTGTGAGCACAGCCGACAAGTGCAAACGAAATGATCCGAGCTGGCGTCCGTGTGTCCACAGGTGCTTTCATGATCCCTTTTCTCATCCTGCTCGTCTTCGAGGGCATTCCGCTGCTGTACCTGGAGTTCGCCATCGGCCAACGCCTCAGAAAGGGCAGCGTGGGGGTTTGGTCCGCGATCCACCCCTACTTCGCTGGAGTTGGTACAGAAGTCTTGCTTTAAATCTTTTTTTTGGGGGGGGGGGATTAGACACAATCCTCATGTACGTTTTCCGCTACTGTGGAAGTCCGTTAGTAGCTACGCTGTCACCAAGCCTGCTAGAATCATGAGAATATTGGTATTCTTGTTATTTCCCCTACATTACAGGTATTGCGTCCATGACAGTGTCGTTCTTAGTGGGCATGTACTACAACACCATCATGGCCTGGGTGATGTGGTACTTCTTCAACTCTTTCCAGAGCCCGTTGCCATGGAGCCAGTGTCCTCTTAATGATAATCTCACAGGCATGTCAACACTTTGCACAAGAGAAAAGAGAAAAAAATGATATTGTACGATCCATTCAAAATGATTTGATCCCCCCCCTTTCCTGCAGATCTGGTGTCGGAATGCAAACGCAGCTCTCCGGTGGACTACTTCTGGTACCGAGAGACGTTAAACACCTCGGAGGCTATAGATGAGGCCGGAGGTCTGCAGTGGTGGGTGGTGCTGTGTTTGGCTGCTGCCTGGAGTGTGCTCTACATTTGCTGCATCAGAGGGATCGAGACCACAGGCAAGGTAGCGCATCTATCAGCCGTCTAACCCAACGCAATAACATCGAATGTTGATGACGCAATGTGATGCGTTCTATACGCATGAACAATTATGGTTTTATGTGTATCTCATTTGGTTTTGTTTTGAAATAAACCCTTTTTTACCGTAAGTAATAAATAAATATGGGCTTGATCCAATAAGTGCTCCAATGACCTAATAAACTAGCGTGCACAATTCCACCTTTATTGCTTTGTTGTAAGTTTTCACGTGTTTTCCCTGAAATTATGTCAAAATCTATACAATGAAAGAAGTCCAGTTTATAATATAGGTAACCTGGTCACAAAATACAATCTTTCAAACCACCAATGCAATATTTTGGATTGAAATGGGCGTGTCAGCAGCAGCGATAACCACCACGTCACACTCTAAAGTTTGAATATTTATTTGAGTCAGGTCAAGAGGTCAAGTACCTGAGAGAGAAATAAAACTTCAGCTTTCAACACCAAGCATTGAGATTTATTACTGGAGATAATCATGATGGTGAGCTGAAAGTGGGATGGGCCTGCCTCTCTGAAAGCCACGATCGACACTGAGCCCTACAACAGGTTTACAGCTGCCTAATTGTCTCCGTTGTTGACTTTTCTTGCGGGGCCTTATTGAGCATTCTCATGTGGTTGGATTATGTTGCGGGCGCCACCTGTTTTATTGAGTTTGGATGATCCAGTTTTCATATTGGCCATCAGCGACATGGAACAACACCGAGTGCCGAGGCCGATTTAGAGTTCATTTCATGCTATTCGTCCCATTTGACTCCCAGTCGTTCCTTTTGCAAATTAATTATTATGAATTTATTACTTGTTTTGGTTCTTTGTTTTGCTTTTTCATGCTTGTAATTTTGTTGTAATCCGGCAAATAAGATCTGTCTGCCTCAATGTATTTCTGAGTAAAAAGTGAGTTCTCACCCTGCTTGATGGTCTCTAGGTGAAAGTGGGCTACTAACGAAAACCATCAGTGGAAAAATAAATAGCATAATTGAGTAATATAATGTATTTCTTACGGAAGCTACAGTAAAATAACAATATTTAAAAAAAATGTAATTGCACCTTTGAATGTGTCTCCTACCTTCCTCTCAGGCTGTGTACATCACCTCCACTCTGCCGTACGTGGTCCTCACCATCTTCCTCATCAGGGGACTCACTTTGAAAGGATCTGTGGACGGAATCAAGTTCCTCTTCACACCAGATGTTAGTCATGTAACTACTTTTCGCTCCGACCATCGGCGTGGAGGCCGTTTCGCTCTGCTGACGATGTCATTGATCTCTAGCTAGACGAGTTGGTGAACCCATCAACGTGGTTGGATGCGGGAGCTCAGGTGTTCTACAGCTTCTCCCTGGCCTTCGGGGGTCTCATCTCTTTCTCCAGCTACAACCCCATCCAGTGAGTTAAGTAGACGGAGCATCGGATCTTATCAGCTGCCATCAGCAAAATAATAGAATTTTTAATTTTCTAATTCTAATTTTTCTTTCAGCAACAATTGTGAGCAGGATGCTGTTATCATCTCCATTATTAATGGCTGTACTTCTATCTACGCTGCCACGGTCGTCTACTCGATCATCGGCTTCCGGGCTACGGAGCAGTTCGACGCCTGCCTTAACGAGTACGTATTTATTTACGTTCCTCAGGGCAAAAGTAAATAACCATTTCTCAGGCAATAATGTTCCTTAAACGTCGTCTTTCAGAAACATCTTGATGCTGCAGAATGCATTCGATTTGGCTGAGGGAGCCATCACAGAGATCAACTATGACGAGCAGCTGCAATGGCTCAACAGCACGATCTCGGGGCCGGAGATCATTCAGGGGCTGGACCTCAGCACCTGCAACCTCAGGGCCTTTCTCAGTGATGTAGGATTTTTTTGGCAGCCGTCACCTTTTTATTACATCTAGAGGAAGCCATTGAGGGTCACGACTGATTGCACTTTTTGTTTTTGTTTTTGCAGGGAGTGGAGGGAACCGGTCTGGCTTTCATTGTGTTCACTGAGGCCATCACAAAGATGCCTGTTTCTCCTCTGTGGTCTGTCCTTTTTTTCATCATGCTCTTCTGTCTCGGGCTTTCCACCATGTTTGGCAGCATAGAGGGGGTTGTGGTTCCCTTGCAGGACCTCAATATCTTTCCTAAGAAGTTTCCAAAAGAGGCGCTCACAGGTAAATGATGCAATAGACACACGTGTGTTTTACTTTGCATGTTACCAATGGCGAGAATGTTTGTGGGATGTTGCTTGAGAAAAACGGGTCAAATATTTCGTTTGGTGACTTTAGAGCAAAAGAATCGTACATAATTTCGGGGGTGTAGTGACAAAATCTGTGCGTGCGAGACGAGTGTGTAGATACTGCAGTAACATTGGTTATGTGGAAGCTTAGTTCCTCATTGAAATAAGAATTGAAATAAGAAACAGCACTGAAGGCTTTTCCAGATGGAGAAGATGTTTTCCCTTTTTGTCCTGACTGGATTCAGTACGAGTTTGATTGACAGATGGTTCATCCAATGACCAAACAGTTTCCATTGAGTGCTTCCAAGTGGCCGGCTAAGTGGTTGTTAAACTCGCCAGATGGGTTGTTAAACCGTGTCGGCTTACCGTGTGTGCTGATGGTACATACATATCCAGGGGCGAAAATACGGGTTGAGGACACTAATGATGTTATTTTGTTTTGTATTTTAGGGATCGTGTGCCTCTCATCCTTCTCGATCGCGCTCATCTTCGCCCTGCGCTCTGGTAACTACTGGTTGGCCCTGTTTGACGGCTACGCAGGCTCCATCCCTCTACTGATCATCGCTTTCTGCGAGATGGTTGGTGTGGCCTACCTGTATGGAATAGATAGGTAGGAGATTACAGAGCACATTTTGTCACGAATGTTCCTTGAAATGCAGTTACGGTGTTTTTGCATCTACTAAGTGGAAGATCTACTTGTTTTTCCAGGTTTAACGAAGATATGGAGTTCATGATTGGACACAAACCCAACATCTTCTGGCAGGCCACCTGGAGGGTGATCAGCCCTTTGATCGTCTTGGTCATCTTTGTGTTTTACTTCGTTACCAAAGTCAGTGGCACGCTGACTTACATCACATGGAATCCAAGCTCGGTATGTTTTTCACACGTTGTTGTCAAAGTTTCTCCGCCGTCATTAAAAAAAATCTGCATCATTTGGAATTTTTTTTTTTTTGTGTCTCAGGAAAACTTCCCGGTTTTGGAGACGTTAGAATATCCCAGCTGGATCAATGTTATCATCTTCCTCTTGGCGGGACTTCCTGGTCTTTTTATCCCGGGATATGCTTTGTGCAAGTTACTTAAGAGATGCTGCTGCAAGAAAGAAATAAATAAACGTGAGCTCAACACTGTATCTGCCAATGTCAACATGTAGGAAACGCAATAGAAATACAAGCACATTAAACTGTTGTTTGACAGATTTAAAACTTCGATGTTTAATACTTCAAGACAAGAAGTGAGTGCAATAAAGAATATTTATTCCACTGCAGGTTATGCTTTACTTTCTTAATAGTTGGTTTGTTAGCGTGATTTTAAGACATTATCTGACCTGTTTATTATGAGAAAATTTGAATAAACCTATTTAAAAAAAATTACACAATTTAGTGCTGTTCCACTGATATCAAAGTTGCCTGAATGAGCTCAAAACACTGCAATGTTCGAACTGAACAAAAAAAAGAGAAAGAAAGAAAAGCTAAGGTTTTTTTTCCTCTCAGGACTCCGGTTTCCAAATGATTCACAGCTCTATTTCTAACTTTTATTTTCCCGTCAATGTAAATGTGGTGCCCGAGTGTGGATGTGTCCAGTGACTGACTGGAAAGCTGCCCAGGAGACTCCCTGTGTTTATGAATATCCTTAAATAACTCCTTAAAGGTCTTGTACACTACCATAAACCACCTTGTAAAAGCCAGTCTTTCTGTAGTTAATTATTGCAATTTATTAGAAGAGAACATTGGAACACTGATAAGGTGCCTGAGCACACTGAATTGCATATAAACCTCAGGCCGGAAAATGTTATATATAATATATAAATACAAACAGAAAAATCCCTTCTTCTACTCCATAACATTTCAAAAATGTTTTAGCACTTTGAATTGAAATCAGACAGAATGCATCCTCCATGTGCCTGCACAGACTTTTATGATGTTTTATTAGATTCCTATGCAAATAAGTAATCAGATTTCTCAAGGACTGCACAACATGATGTCCAGATAAGCAATGACGAGAAATGTGTTGCCTCCAACTAAAATATGTTGCAAAATGTCAGTGGTTTTGTCGGCATTTTGCAACATATTTTGTTTGTTTTGTTAACCATCAAGGAAGCTTTGTGGTCTTATGAGGGGTGACATGATAAATAGAGCCAATAGAATGCCCCACTTACTACACAAACTCACAAAAAAACTCTCAACTCATCTTTCAGGGGAAAAGTGTGTGTGGCGGACGCTCATGTGATGTATTAACCATTATCAAGGAGGTCGCACCCTTTACCGCTTGACCTTGCTGACATTTCATAATACAGACAGTAATGAAGTACTGATAACCTCGGTTCAGGTATCATAGGTCACAGGAAATACCTCAGTGCCATTTCCCAGGACATACAGTGGGGGTGAAGCGCTCGGAGAGACATAGTCCACGCAGGAGACCGCAGGAGAGAGGACGCTTCCCGCCGCTCACAGGAGACAAACTCCTGTTTACCCGAGGGGAGACTCAGACTCAAACAGCTGCTGGAATTTTACACTTTCTGAGTCCAGCAAAGTCCGCAGCCACCATGAAGCTGAAGCTGAAGCTGCCAAACCCGGGACTGGATGACCGGATCCCTTCTCACATGGAACTGGAGAGGATGGAGACGGAGGAGGCGGGGGACAGGCCGAAATGGGACAACAAAGCCCAGTATCTGCTCACCTGCGTGGGCTTCTGTGTGGGACTTGGCAACGTGTGGAGGTTCCCTTACCTGTGTCAGAGCCACGGGGGAGGTAGGCTGGGATGAGCCCAAATAAATGAGCGTGATTAGAACGATCTGAATGTGTGTTTACCAGGTTGAAGTAACTGAGGAGAGATTTTTCCAAAACTTAAATTTTGTCTTAAAGCATCAGGAAACATTTATACATACAGATTAAGAGGAAACATCTGCAACTTCAGTGGATTGCATCACATTAGCGCTGAGTGTTTGAATCTATTAAAAAAGGTGCTATGATACATTTACAGAGAGAGACAGTAGCAGTAACGCTAAAAAGTTAAAGAAAATGCTTATTTTCTTGGACTGGGACTGAAAGAAAACCAATCAAATTAGGAAATTATCAAATAATCATTATGCGGAACATATTGAAACTACTGGTATTGTATGCTTTCACTTTACTTTCTGAAACTGTAGTGACATGTTGAACAGCATGTGCGAGCGTCACTCAGGATTTGCACAGCAACTTGTGCACTTTTTACAATTCATCTTTATGGGACCAGTTTTGTGAATGGAGTCGACCGTTGAATATTAACTTGCCCCTCATTTGAAGTTGACTCAGTATGACAATATGACTGTTGTACTTCCAGGTGCGTTCATGATCCCATTCCTCATCCTGCTGGTACTGGAGGGAATCCCACTTCTGCACCTGGAGTTTGCCATCGGTCAGCGCCTGAGAAAGGGCAGCGTGGGAGTCTGGAGCTCCGTCAGTCCATACATGACTGGAGTCGGTGTGTAAAAAAGAAGCATTAGCAAGCATTTGGGTTTGTTGAGTCCAAGGTCCACATTTCTCTCTGGACGTCAGTCTCGTGGTCCCAACTGAAGTATACATACAATTATTTAATGGATTAACATGGCATTTAGGCATCCATGGTCCCCGTATGATAAATTGTACTGATCTCACTACTTGTTGCTTTATTGGAATAGCGTTGTGTTGCGACGAGCTATAGTAGTTTGAGTGAGGAAGACAACTTCCTTACGAGTAGGGCTTACAGCTACAAGGGCGAGTCGTATTATGCCTATTTCTTAAGTCGTGCGTTTTATGTTTTTGCCAGCAGCGGAACTACTTTTTAGTCACTGTGTATCTCATCGTTATTAGGGAGTAAGTTCTAATATCGATCATATTCCTTAAGGTTTTTTTAGCTGACTCGTATTTGTTCGGTACGCACAGTATTGCTTATCTTCCCCCTAATATTTAACGCGGATGATGGTGAAGTAGGTTGTTAAGACGATACATTCGTGACACTCGAACACTTGAGTTTAAGGAACCTTTTGATTAAGTTCTCACCAGGGACCTACGTATATGTTTGACCTGTAACCCCTCCGTCGAGTGAGCTCGTCCTTACATACCGATTAGGTCCCTAATGCCCTTGGGGGATGACTGGTACCTCTATGTATCAAGATAAGGGCACTCACCGGTGTCTGCAGGTTTCGAAGCGGTGTTCTTGTCATTCAGCCCCTTGGAGGAGGCCCCTCGGTGGAAAGGAATCCCCCGGAAACAAATGGTCTTTTGTTCCCCAAAAAGGAGAATTTTTATTTATATAAAAAAGCGAAAAGGTTTACAAAAAATGGATAGAAAAACAATAAAAGCAGTTATATTGTTCAAACCCTAAATGTGTTAAAGCATCTTGGCTTATATACTTTTTTTTTTGCAGAAGCAAAGTGCGTCACTGGGGTTTATCTTGCGTCGATCACAGTTTCGGTATGGAAACTCGATCAAAGCATGTTCGTGCGTTATTTGCGCTACCACATCGCAGCTCTTAATATAAGCATGTTAGTTTTGCAAGTGTGAGCTTGTTAGCATGTCGACGTTAGCGTTTAGCTCAAAGCACTGCTGCGAGCGCAGCGAAACAGAGCCGCTAGAAATGTCTTCTTGTATCGTTAAGAAGAAGGGGAAAAAAAGACTAATTGTTCATTTGGTTGCAGGTATTGCATCCATGCTTGTGTCATTTCTGGTGGGTATGTACTACAACACCATCATGGCCTGGATCATGTGGTACCTCTTCAACTCCTTTCAAAATCCCCTGCCCTGGAGTCAATGCCCCCTCAATGCAAACGGGACAGGTACGGCCTCAGACATCGAGACAACAGTCAAACGTTTGCTGTGGACTGACTGTGGAGAGTCCCCCAAGTTGCTTCCTCCTTCTCCTCCTCCTTCCAGGCCAGGTGGAGGAGTGCGCTCGGAGCAGCACCGTCGACTACTTCTGGTACAGAGAGACGCTGAACACCTCCACAGCTATTGATGATTCTGGGAGTCCACAGTGGTGGATGGTGTTGTCCCTGGTGGCTGCCTGGACTCTGCTCTACGTCTGCTGCATCCGCGGCATCGAGACCACCGGAAAGGTCGAAATGTCCCGTCACATCTGAATTATCTAAAGCGTGATGCCTGCCTGCGTTCGGTGAAAAATATACGGATATGGTTGTGTTTTCTCCCAGGCTGTGTATGTGACCTCCACCCTGCCGTACCTTGTCCTCACCATCTTCCTCATCCGAGGTCTGACCCTGAAAGGATCCTTCGATGGAATCAAGTTCCTGTTCACACCAGACGTGAGCACTATTTTAAACCCTTGTTCGTGTGATTTACAATCATCTAAAAAGAAATAAGGTGTAACGCGTATGAATTGTTAACAGTAGGTTAGCAGGAGTGTTTTACTGACACCTCTGAAAAGCAGAAACTGTTTTCTTCACTTTTAGGTAAATGAGTTAATGAATCCAACAACCTGGTTGGATGCAGGCGCTCAAGTTTTCTATTCCTTCTCTTTGGCCTTCGGAGGTCTCATCTCTTTCTCCAGTTACAACTCTGTTCAGTGAGTTATTGCCTCAAATGCACAGATATGTAACAAGCCGGTCTTTTAAACATTTTGCCAAACATGATTGTAATTGTGTGTTTTTTTTAGCAACAACTGCGAGCAGGATGCCGTTCTCATCTCTATCATCAACGGCTGCACGTCGGTGTACTCGGCGACTGTGATCTACTCCATCATCGGCTTCAGGGCCACGGAGAAGTTTGACGACTGCACAGGAGAGTGAGTGTCAAATCTCACAAAAGAAGCCTTTAGAGCGATAGTTTGGATTAACGCATTGAGACTTAACTGCTTTTCTTCTATTTCATTTTTTAGCAATATCCTCAAGCTGATGAATGCCTTCAACTATGCCGAAAACAACATCACCGAAAGCAACTACGATGTTGTTCTGTCGCATCTCAACCAGACAAATCCAGACATCATTCAAAGATTGCAATTACAGACCTGTGACTTGCAGGCTTTTCTCAGTCAGGTGAGCAGATTGCACTAGAATATACATATATATATATATATATACATATATATATATATATTATCTAAACAAAGTAGTGAGCGGTTGACAGATTTGGTGTGCACTTCTTCAGGGTGTGGAGGGAACAGGTCTGGCCTTCATTGTGTTCACGGAGGCCATCATCAAAATGCCGATTTCTCCTCTGTGGGCCGTCCTCTTCTTCGTCATGCTTTTCTGCCTCGGCCTCTCCACCATGTTCGGGAACATAGAGGGAGTCGTGGTTCCTTTGCAGGACCTCAATTTGCTGCCTCGATCTTGGACCAAGGAAGTTCTCTGTGGTAATCTTTTGGATGAAAAGTATTTTTTTAATGTGAGTACATTGATCTAGATGTACGAGTTCAACCACTTTGTTTGTTCAGGTCTCACTTGCCTGGTCTCTCTGGCTCTTGGCATCATCTTCACCCTGCGCTCCGGGAACTACTGGCTGGCTCTCTTCGATAACTTCGCTGGCTCCATCCCTCTTCTGGTCATCGGCTTTTGTGAAATGTTTGGTGTCATGTACATTTATGGCGTAGATAGGTGAGTACGAGGTCATGGCTTTTTCCCCACTGTGGGACTAATAAAGGAATATTTTATAAAGTAGGCCGATAAGAGTGTCTGAATATCAGTGAGCAACGCAGTTGAAAGTAGGATACCGATTATTGTGATCTGAGCCTTCACGTCGTCAGAGGAGCACAGTGTGTCGTGTAGCATCTACGGTGTTTATTAGATGAAAGAGGTAAAAACGCTACTTATAAGAACGCTAAATGCTGTTTAGTCTTTATATTGAGGTTACTTCATTTACTGTATCTTGTAAAACCACACGGTTGTCCTTTATGGATGCTTTTATACACACTGTAAAAAATGACATTACATCCCCTCTTTTATTGGTCCCAAACAGGTTTAACGAGGACATCGAGTTCATGATTGGTCACAAGCCCAATATATTCTGGCAGGTGACGTGGAGGTTTGTCAGTCCAGTCATTATGGTCGTCATCTTGGTTTTCTACTTTGTCACCCAAATCACCAACAATCTCACTTATTTGGTTTGGGACCAAGAGGCGGTAAGTCTGCTCACCACAATAGTTTAGGTGTAAAAATGTTTAGATTGGTAGAGTTATACCACTTGTTCATTGGTGTAAATCTTTGCAATTCCTTAACTACAGGAGAACTTTCCCACCCTTGAACCACGTCCATACCCTTCCTGGATCAACATCATCATCTTCATTCTGGCCGGAATTCCCAGTTTATCCATCCCAGTGGTCGCCCTCTACAAATTCATCCAGATCAAATGCTGCAAGCAGGATGACTTAAGAGTCGACTCAGTGGACACGATCTCTGCCCAAATACAAATGAGCGACAAAAGGAAGTTTTAGATTTATTCTCATATTTAAAAACAAAATGGACGTTGTCTTGTCTTATCGTGTTTTGTATGGCTTAAACAATAACAGCACAGTAGTGAGTACGGAAAAGAATTATGTAATTCGGCAGAAGATAATTCATTTGTGCTGTATTGATTTCATACAGTTGTGATATTGTATTCTTGTTGTGTCATGGTTCACATGTTGTACATTAAATTAAAAGTTGGACTTTTTGGTAGATGATCCATCGCACGTGTCAGTGGACTTGATATAAAGCTTCAGCCAGCAACTGATTAGCTTAGCTCGGCAAATAAAAAACTTCCACCAGCACCTCTGAAGCTACAGCGATATTGCATTTGTCTCAACCGTAACAGAACAATCAAAGGAGTTAAATCACAATGTGCAGGTGAGCCGAGCTGCTTCCCAGTTTCCCGCCAAATCTAAAAATGGCCGACTGCATGCTATATATATATATATATATATATATATATATATATATATATATGTTGATATTTATCCTCCCTGAGATACCAAAGTCATGTAACTCTCCAAAAATGTGAAGCTAATAGTGTTTTATGATCATTAGTTTTGACGTACTTTCAGCAATTTGTAGATTTCTTTTTGAACAATAATGCGATTAAACTCATGTCATTGGTACATTTTTAAACACTTGTGTATTGGGTATATTGTGGAGCGCTATTGTGAGGTTCCCTTTTATGTGTGAGTATATTACAGAAACTTGTAATAATCATCTGACAAGTTTAGACCTTATTACATAATGGGGTGGTTACTATCTGAACAAACGTAGGATTTACTCTGGAAAACCCTGAAAAGCAACAAGACACGGAAATGTGTTGAATATAATCCCTGGTTTAATGATTTGTCTTTCACAAGCTCCCAGGACTTTTTACATTGCGACCAAACGGTGGAATTAAAACTTCTGAAGTCTGTCACATCAAAACAAAACTTTCTTCCATAACAGACATCTTTTTTCTTTCTTTATGGAGGTAAATCCACGTATGTGCAATTTAACATCCTAATTTACCTTGATGTATCCCAAAATCTTTTCACCTCAGTTCACGTGAATGAGAACATGCCCTGGGGGCGGGGATAAATAAAGTGCTTGAAGGTTTGCTTCCTGGTTGCTGAAGATTACCGGAGCATCTGAGCAGTTGTTTTATGAATGACCTGCCGGCCTTCTGTCTCGGCCACTAAGCATTGAAGCCCCGCCTCCAACTCTGGATCCAATCCACTACATCCCCGGTCTTAACATTTCACTATCAAATCATTGAATAAACCCCTTAAAAACAAAACACTTGACCCGTGATAAAACTTAAAAATGACTTTTACAGTTTAAAAGCAGATTTGAATGACAGTCTTAGTATTTGACGGTACATGACATAGTATTTATAAAATATACATGTTTAATTTAGCGGTTAAATTGCTGCACGTGTGCTCTTTGACTAATATATGGCCTGCAACAGATAAAGTAAAAGATCATAAAGTCCTTTAAGGACCACTCAGTGCTACTCGAGGATATCACACACAATAGTTCGACTGGCGTAGACAGTTTTTTTCTCTGCTCCAGCGCAGGTGGTCACCATGAGACTGGTGCTTCCCAACCCAGGACTGGACCTCCGGATCCCCAACTATGAGGATCTGGAGAGGATGGATAAAGAAGAAGCGGACGGCCGGCCCAAGTGGGACAACAAAGCCCAGTACATTCTGACCTGTGTGGGTTTCTGCATTGGACTCGGTAACGTGTGGCGATTCCCTTACTTGTGTCAAAGTCACGGAGGAGGTGAGTCAAAATGTCTTGAGGTTTTGACAAATGATTGTGGTGCATTTTAGCGATCTTTTTTAAAAATATATGCAATGCTGCGGGGTAAATATCTATTCATTTTAAATCAAATTCCTGTTGAGTAACTGCGAGGCTAAAGGTACGTTAAATACATCACTCATTCAAGGCTGCCTCGTCATGAAATCCTCTTTGACTTAAATTAATGATTCTCAAGAAGTAAAAATGACTAACCTGACAGCTGAGCTGCAGACAGATGTGTAAATTTGTTTAGGTTAAAAAGGAATGCAAAGAATTCACTCACGCTGCATATTTGCGTGTCTGTGTGTGTGTCTGTGTGTGTGTGTGTGTGTGTGTGTGTGTATGTGTGTGTGTGTGTGTGTGTGTGTGTGTGTGTGTGTGTGTTCTTGTGGTCCTTTCCAAAGTGTGTGTTTAGTGGGTCATTTTGATGGAGCCACAGGAAGAGGTGCAGGTTTCAAAGGCAGGCAAAGTGTGAAAGCACAACCAGTTATTAGGATTGTTAACTAAGCCCATACGTGTTCATCGTCCAGGTCGGGAGTGACAATATGCTGATGCATACAAAACAACCAAAACGTTACAAGTTTCTTCTTTTGTGGATAAAATCAAATATCCTAATTGTATTAAAACTTCCATAATAACCTTACCTATCACACAAGTATATGACAACAAATCTGTATTTTAGCCGCTATTAAACATTATACTCCATTGTCCCCATCATCACTTCATCATACAAACGTCTCAGAAAACATTTGATAGTGATGTGAGTGACACTTTTAACTTTCAAGCCCTTAATGACTTACGTTCTGCAGGGGCCTTCATGATTCCCTACCTGATTCTGCTGGTGGTGGAGGGGATGCCTCTCCTGCTGTTGGAGTTTGCCATCGGCCAGCGTCTCAGGAAGGGCAGCGTAGGAGTGTGGAGAGCCATCAACCCGTATCTGACTGGTATTGGTGAGTGAGATAGGCTCTGCAATAAATTGTCCAAAGCAGAAGAAAAATATTAACATTAGATAATGTTTGTGTCTTACTCAGGTGTAGCATCCATGCTGGTTTCCTTATTGGTTGGACTTTACTACAACACCTTAGTAGCCTGGATCCTGTGGTATCTCTTTAATTCCTTTCAAGACCCACTGCCTTGGACCCAGTGTCCTCTCAATGACAACGGGACAGGTAAATAAACACATATATTCAGCTCATACATGCACACCGAAGCACCCGAATTGAATCGGTATTCATTATTCCCCCACACAGGTTTTGTTTCAGACTGTCAACGGAGCTCCACTGTGGATTACTATTTTTACAGGGTGACTTTAAATAGTTCGGCCTCCATAGGCGACTCTGGGGGGATCCACTGGCCCATAGTACTCTGCCTGCTGGCCGCCTGGACTGTCGTTGCAATCTGTTGCATAAGGGGCATTGGCACTTCAGGCAAGGTGTGTTGAACTTTCACTAAGTTGACCATTTGCTAAGCCTCTCCTGGTGTAGTTACTGTTGCTGAACCATTCTGTGCTCACAAAGTACCTGTATAGTTAGAGATTTAGGCTCGTCATTTTAAAAGGGTCCTATTGTATTTCGTAAGGCCAAAAATAGACGCAACTATTTGGGGTTTCTGTTTCATGCACAATTTAATCCCAGGGTGGAGCAATGCATTAAACAGTTACAAGAAGACACATTACAACACTTCAAGTTACACATCTTATCAAGGATATTTCTTGAACCAAGCATTGATATTTGGGCTTCCATCTAATGGCTGATGAAAATTGTCCCTCGCCCAAAAGGCATGGGACCATTGTTATGCTAAGCTACTCCTCTAGGCAGTAAGGTAAGTAAGTTAGCTAGATGTGTGAATGTTTGAAGTTGATGTTGGTTAGAGCAGATAAACAAACTGTTGGATTCATTCCTCAAGCTGATCTTGCATTTGAGTAAAACAACAACTCACCTTCTAACCTCGGTAATTGCACATCTCAATGAACTTGCAGGGAAATCCAAAGCTTGACAGCTCTGCACTTGCTTCCGGTTAATGAATTGTGATTGGAACGGTGCTATTTGGGTTTTAGCAAATAGTCAATTTCTAAATTGATCTGATCATCATTGTCTCCGATTCCCCGTTTCCCTGTCGTGGCCTCAGGCGGTGTACGTCACTGCCATTCTGCCGTACATCGTGCTGGCCATCTTCCTGATCCGAGGACTGACTCTTAAAGGCTCCCTGAGTGGAATAAAGTTCCTCTTTACACCAGACGTACGTTTCAAATATTTACGGGAAAGTAATGTCCTGCTGCTCAAAGACACGTCACATTTCATACAGTACTTCGCTCCTGCAGGTGGACGAGTTGATTAAACCAACAACTTGGCTGGATGCCGGCGCCCAGGTCTTCTACGCGTTTGGTTTGGGGTGGGGAGGCCTCATCTCCTTCTCAAGCTACAACCCCGTCCAGTAAGAGACATGCGTGGTCCCGTCACGCTGCTGACTTCCATTGAAAAGGCCCAAACTCGACATGCTTCTGTCTTTTTTCCTTCTTTTTCCAAGCAACAACTGCATACAAGATGCCGTGATTCTGTCAGTCATAACTGGCCTCACCTCAATCTACGCTGCTACAGTCACCTACTCCATCATCGGCTTCAGGGCCACGGAGAAATATGACATCTGCATGAATGAGTGAGTGTTCACAGCAGTTGATTTCAGAGTCCTGCAAGTCCTCCTTTGCATATCAGGTTTTGACAAAGTTAAGAGGCCCTCTTTATTTGTCAGAATGTTGAAGAACAAGCTGGTGTAGTACCATTAAACTAGTACACAAACAGGTTTAATCCATCATTTCTACCAGCCACCCGAAGTTTAGCCACACTCTCCCTGTGTGTTCTCTGTCAAACTTTCCGCCAGCAAGAAGGTGTCGAGGTGCACAAACTCAGTACAATTTAAGTGCTACAATTTGTTAGTCTTTTAGTCGAGGTAGAGTCTGAATCAGAGGCGTTAACCAGCCACAGCAGGATAAATGATGGATGTATGAAGAGAAGTGTTTGAGGTGTGGCCCCTATAGTCGTTTGTATGAAAGTTGCTCAGAAGCAAAACCTTTAAAATGATGAATTAAAATTTCCTTTCACCTCAGACCGGAGTCCGTCTAGGTCTATAATGAATCCGCCGGCTCCCTTTGGTAAAATCCTCCCTGTGTAGCTGATTGAGGCGGATACGGTGGGTCAGGCATTGAGTGGTGAGGGTCAGGAGAACCCATTAGCCACATCATAACAGATCCGAGTTACATGTGCCGTGCTCAGCGAGGATGATTGACAGGTCTAAATGCACGACGAGCAGTGTAAATGTTAGTAAAGTGATGTTTACTTACTAATCTGTGACATATTTTCTACCCAGTAACATCATCAAATTATTAAATACATTTGAGCTTCCTGAGGACAACATCACTGTGAGCAACTACGAGGCGGCCTTCAATCAACTCAATAGCTCTTCTCCGGAGACTGTTCTTGGATTGGACATTAAAACCTGTGACATGCAGACACTTCTCAGTGAGGTGACTACGTCGATGGATATGCACCACATTAAGGTGTTATTCGTTTTTCTACTCTTATGTGCTTTGTTTCTAATCTGTGCATGTGCAGGGAGTGGAGGGAACCGGCCTGGCCTTCATCGTCTTCACAGAGGCAATAACCAAGATGCCTGGATCTCCGGTCTGGTCTGTTCTCTTCTTCATCATGCTTCTCTGCTTGGGACTCTCGACCCTGTTTGGCAACATAGAGGGAGTGGTGGTTCCACTCAAAGATCTGAATGTATTCCCTAAAAAGTGGCCTCATGAAATACTCACTGGTAATTTGGTTTAATAAAAACCTCAATAAGTTTTGACGATTTTTCTTCCCCCAGTGAAACCTCTCTGTTGGTGTCTGACTTTAACGCTAGTGGCTTTATTTTTCAGGGATAACATGTATTGCCGCCTTCTTCATCTGTTTCCTGTTTGCGCTGCATTCAGGGATTTATTGGGTAACACTCTTTGACAATTTTGCTGGATCAGTTCCACTCCTGACCATTGGATTGTTTGAGATGATAGCTGTTGTGTACATCTACGGCATAGACAGGTTAGTTCTGTAATTTAGCAGCGCATTGTCTGTTTGTGTTTCTGGTGCAATTCTTCATGATATTTGCTGCAAATAATCTTCCCGGTTTCACAGCATAAAGAACAACCTTTAGGTCCAGTGGGAAACTTCGAAGTTGATCAAAACCCTTTTGCGTTGTAGGTTCAACGAGGATGTGGAGTTCATGGTGGGACATAAGCCCTCCATCTTCTGGCAGATTACGTGGAGGTTCATCAGTCCTCTCATTGTTCTGGTTATTTTGATTTTCTATCTGGTGACTCAAGTCCAAAAAGAGCCTACCTACTTGGTCTGGGATCCAAAATCTGTAAGCACACAAACTCTGTGATTAATACAAGTATCCTGCCTATGTGTTGCCATATGTGTTCTCTGTCAAATACAACATATATGGCCCCTTAATCATGGAACAGCATACAAGAAGACAACCAGTCCAACTAGTTGGGACAGCGTTTTCATACCAAATGTAGTAATCATACTGTCTTCTGGTCTACAGGATGAATTCCCGTCTCTGGCATCAGTACCGTACCCCGCATGGATCAACTTGGTCATTTTTCTCCTGGCGGGGGTCCCAAGTCTTGCGGTGCCTGTTTATGCATTATGTAGGCTGATTTTCCTTCGCTGCAAGAAAACTACAGGGTAAATTAATTCCTTAACTATTCCTTAGAATTATACATTTCAGAATACAACAAAAAAGTACCATCTCTGGCATAAGTACCTTAACTAGTTCACTGTCACTAGAATAATAAATCCCTTGTGGAACCACAGTTATAGTTCATTAAATCCAACCGATTGAAACAATTCAAAAGTATAAATGTATACTATGCTGTTATTGTATTACAAGCTGCAATGGAATAATGTTTTTACTCTTGACATTGCATACTAAATGGCGTGACGACTAACAATAACTATTTTGATAAAATATTAACAATAATTGCAGACGTTTTATTGATGTATTTTCCATTCTGAGTGAACTTTGCCTATTTGAGTATTACCCTTTAATGATTGTCCAGCCAGCTTGGTTCACCGTGGCTGTCCACATTTACAAAGAGATGGTGTGTTTCTTACGCTTATAAATGGTTCAGTCAAAACATCTTTGGTGCTTTCAGAAGTTGGAGATACAACGAATGTAGCTAGTCGGGTTTTTTTAAACAATTGTATATCAGGACTTAGAAATAAACCTTGTTTAGAAGCACTGAGTATCTGTTTGATAATTACTGGGTGCAGCTATAATATTTTCTGGGCATTGACACAAAAAATGCAATGCAATAAAGAATGATTTTTTGTCACCTTTGAAATCCACATTTTAAGGAGGTAGTGGAAATTAGTGGATAATGTTCTTTAAATTACAATTATCTTGAGGAACATTCTGACAAAGCTTCATGGAGGAAGAGAAGCGAGGTCCCTGTTGTCCACTCAGAGGGACACTCCTGCACAAAGTAACTGGAGCAGGACACACAGGTGTGAAGGAATGCACACTTTGAGCCCCCCGCCTCAGTGATGAGTAAAGGAGAGGTCGCAAAGTCAATGAAAGGTCACAGAGTTCACAAGAGGTCACAGTGTTCCCAAAGGAAGTCACAATAAAATCATTTTTCCCCAACAATTATCTGAATAAAGTCTGCTGCCTGTTTTTTGAAAACACGTCTGGGTCGACGTGAAGATCATCAACACGAGCGATAAACTCACGCACATTGTTTCTCTTGACTTTCTCTTCTCTTGGTTGCTGAAACATGTTGAATTTTTAATCCACAACGTGAATGCACAAAATAATTCAATAATTAACGTCTAAAACTGGCATCGAATAAAGACCCAATTGAAGATTGGACCTCGAGTTCAGATAATGAAACACCCTCTTCCCTTAATGCCCTCGTCAGCTCAGATATTTCATGATTTTTTAATGCTGAACTCCAAACAAAGTAATAAATACACTTAAACAACCAGTCGACACAGAACTGTTTTGAGTGTATCCGGAGTTCTGGGACTGTGGCTCAGTCGGCCACTTAGCCCTGTCAGTTTCAGACATCCAGTCACGTGGTTAGAGGCAGCTGCACGCGGCCAACTTCCCCCTGGGGTGTCTCATCACTTTCTCCAGGTGCAAATCTATGACGGCCAGCTGTGCAATTCGAGGCAATTCCGTAAACTCTCAGTTTAACACTTATCACTCAACCTTTGTAATATTGTTAAAAGCACCAACTGTGAGCGTGGCTCCACTGTCGACGTCCTCAGCGGTGCCTGTAACTCAGTGTAAAGTGGTTATCTGCTTCGTTATCAGTCTCGCTGCCACTTGATAATATGACCATGGGAGAGTTTGACACTGGGCAAAGGGTACCTGATCAGTGGATTCAAACCCTGCGCCTTTGTGCCTTAGGGGACGGTTCAACTACCTTTCCAGTAAACAGTGGCAGTATTTTTGTAATACTATTACATTGATTAACCAAACAGTCGTGTAGAAACAGAAATGGGATGTTCGCGTTGGCTTATCTGAGAATTGCACCAGAATAAAGTGCAAGATCGTAAAGTTGTTCGGAAATTGCAGTTTACACACCACAAGAGATCACTTTGACTTCCATGAACGGCCGCGTAACTTCTCAGCTTCAGCACGGTCGCCATGAGGCTTGTATTTCCCAACCCGGGACTGAATGACAGGATCCTTTCTCATGAAGACCTGGACAGGATGGAGAAGGAGGAGGACGGGGACAGGCCCAAGTGGGACAACAAAGCCCAGTACATTCTAACCTGTGTGGGCTTCTGCATCGGGATCGGCAACGTCTGGCGATTCCCTTACTTGTGTCAAACGCATGGAGGAGGTAAGCTCACATCAAAACGAGAAAGGGAAACCTTTGGATTCAGGTCTGTTTTTCAAATCATGGTTTGGATAGAAACGTGCTTTTGGGTATTTTTCTACCTTTCAAATAAAATTTTCCTTGAAGGACTTGAAGGACTATGTATCTGTTTGCACAAAGTTGTATCTGCTCTGTGCGCAGTCCAATGTGATATCCTTACAGACTCACTACAGATATCGGACGCACAGACAGATTAATCTAACTACCTGCAAGATAAATGAAGGAAGAAGCCCAAACTGTTATACTCAAGCATTGTATTAATTGCATTTTCATGGCAAGGTGCAAAGGTCAGTAACTGTCGTTCATGCGACACTGTCCTCAGATTTGGGATTGTGCTTCTGATCATACTTTTGCAGGAGCCTTTCTGATTCCCTACCTGATTCTGCTGGTGCTGGAGGGAATGCCTCTCCTGCTGTTGGAGTTTGCCATCGGGCAGCGTCTCAGGAAGGGCAGCGTAGGAGTGTGGAGAGCCATAAACCCGTATCTGACTGGTATCGGTAAGTAAACTAGGCTCTAAAACAAATAGTTCAAAGCAGATTTAAATGATAACATTAGATAATGTCTGTATTTTACTCAGGTGTAGCATCCATGCTGGTTTCCTTATTGGTTGGACTTTACTACAACACCTTAATAGCCTGGATCCTGTGGTATCTCTTTAATTCCTTTCAATCCCCACTGCCTTGGACCCAGTGTCCTCTCAATGACAATGGGACAGGTATTTTGATTTACAAGCAGATACTCTCACTGGCCAGTCAAACTGTACCAAAATGTGGATGTAGACTTGTGCACATGCTGGTGACTGTTTCTTGCCCCTTAAGGATTTGTACCAGAGTGTCAACGGAGCTCTACTGTGGATTACTACTTTTACCGAGTGACTCTGAACAGTTCGGCCTCCATAGGCGATTCTGGGGGGATCCACTGGCCCATAGTACTCTGCCTGCTAACGGCCTGGTCTGTCATGTGTGTCTGTTACATTCGGGGGATCGGCACTTCAGGCAAGGTGTGTCGAACCTCCACAAGAACAATTTGTATTCTTGATTCCATTTTAATAAATACTTTAATGTAATTTTTTCCCTATCGTGGCCTCAGGCGGTGTACGTCACTGCCATTCTGCCGTACATCGTGCTGGCGATCTTCCTGATCCGAGGACTGACTCTTAAAGGCTCTTTGAGTGGAATAAAGTTCCTCTTCACACCAGACGTACGTTTCAAATACTGATAGAAAAGTCATATCTCACCGCTCAAAGCAGCGTCACAATGTACACTTCGATCCTGCAGGTGGACGAGTTGATTGAACCAACGACTTGGCTGGATGCAGGTGCACAGGTCTTTTATGCCTTTAGCCTAGCTTGGGGGGGCCTCATCTCCTTCTCAAGCTACAACCCTGTTCAGTAAGAGACATTAAAAGACGCCCTGTCACTAGATAGCTCCCATTCTCAAATATATTTGTCCTGAATCGTTCCTTTTTCCTGTTTCTCAAGCAACAATTGTGTGCAAGATGCTGTGATCCTGACAGCGATAACTGGCTTCACCTCAATCTACGCTGCTACTGTCACCTACTCCATCATCGGCTTCAGAGCCACAGAGAAATTTGACAACTGTATCAGTGAGTGAGTAGTCATTGCCACCAAAGCACCACGAGCTACGTTTAATGCATGTTTAGCAACAAGGTAACACTAGGGAACACTTTCTAAGTTCAATGTACCTGTAATAGTGTTGAATCAAAATGAGCACATTTGAATTTCAGTTATTCAGAGTTCCTAATCAATGAAATATGATCTCCCCAGGAACATAATCACGCTGTTAAATGCATTTAACCTTCCTGAGGACAACATCACTGCGAGCAACTACGAGGCGGCCTTCAATCAACTCAACAGCTCCTCTCCGGAGACTGTTCTTGGATTGGACATTAAAACTTGTGACATGCAGACACTTCTCAGTGAGGTGACTACGTCGATGAATACATTGGATCAATGTATTCAAGTTATTCACTTTTCTTACTCTTATGTGCTTTGTTTCTAACCTGTGTAATTGCAGGGAGTGGAGGGAACCGGCCTGGCCTTCATCGTGTTCACAGAGGCAATAACCAAGATGCCTGGATCTCCGGTCTGGTCTGTTCTCTTCTTCATCATGCTTCTCTGCTTGGGAATCTCGACCCTGTTTGGCAACATAGAGGGAGTGGTGGTTCCACTCAAAGATCTGAAATTGCTACCGCAAAAATGGCCCCAAGAAGCACTGACTGGTATTGGCTTTTATAGTTAAATCCATCTACACTTTGGCTTTGCGACCTTGGATTAATTGATTGTCCAATTCCTTCTTTTTTTGTTCCTGTGTTTTTCAGGAGTGACTTGTGCTGTTGCCTTCATCATCTGTATCCTGTTTGCACAGAATTCTGGGATTTATTGGGTAACTCTCTTTGACAATTTTGCTGGGTCAGTTCCACTTCTCACTATTGGATTGTTTGAGATGATTGCTGTTGTTTACATCTACGGCATTGACAGGTTAGTGCTTACTAAGATATTATTATAGCAACACAATGTTCACCTGTGGTTTTGTTATTTTTCATCTTGATATTTTTAGCAAAATAACCCTCCATCATTCTGTTGCTAAGCAAATCTTTATGCAAATGTAATGAAAACTTTCTTGTGTTGTAGGTTCAATGAGGACTTGGTGTTCATGGTCGGCTATAAGCCCGGCATCTTCTGGCAGGTCACATGGAGGTTCATTAGTCCACTGATCGTTCTGGTTATTCTAATATTCTACATGGTGACACAAACCCAAAAAGAGCTCACCTACTTAGTCTGGGATCCCGAATCTGTAAGCACACAAACACACGCTATATTCTTACATCTACGTCATGTCGTTTGCCTCTTTACTTAATAATGTATCAAGATAAACATTCTGATGGTAAAAGTCGTTGACTTGGTGGTGACACATTTGACGGTTTTGTGGTCTACAGGAGGAGTTTCCAGCTCTGGCGTCGGTGCCGTACCCGTCATGGATCAATGCGGTGGTCTTTCTTTTAGCGGGGGTCCCAAGTCTGGCAGTTCCTGTGTATGCATTATGTAGGTTGGTCTTTGTTTACTGCAAGAAAAAATAAAATACATCGGAGTTTTCCCAGGCAGCTAAAGGGATTATACTGTCATACATTTAAGAATTTAAATAAATAAATAATTCTTTAATAAGTTGGGTTGCTTCCTGTTATACTATTATTTAAATCAGACATATTGCATACATGCTTTAAAATACATTTAAAAAACTCCAGCACATGTACTGCACTAACCCAAATCATTTTGATACATCTTTGTCGCCATCAACGATCTGAGCTGCATCTCCTTATCCAATCAAATACG